AAAGTCTTGCTGAGTGTCGAGTTTAGCAAGAATTGTTTAAGTTCTCTCTCATGTATGGGCAAAATGCGATTGTAACATTAAAATGTCAGATGCAGTGTTAAGTACGAAGCAGTGTTCAAAATTATACCGTCGTTACGACCGCGAGTTTCATATGAATTGCAACCCGCAGTAAACATTTTTAACTATGCTAGGTTATTAATAGTGGCCGCCCTTCTCGCAGCTTGTTCTCTTTTTCGTATAAACATACAAAAAAGTGTATAAATTGTGAAATATCAACTAATACAGTTAACGAGCCTTCGGAGAAAATAGAATGTATGTCGCGCGGCATTATTTTATGATGGTATTACTAAATATTTAAAATTGCATCGTTATTGCGCTACTCACATTTACGGTAGAAGTCTGTAAATATTTTAATGTTTATGGTATTACGGATATCAGTTGCCATCTCTACATTGCGTTACATTTCGCAATTTTACTATGTCAGCGCAAACATTATAAAAATAAATATCGTATAGGATATTAGAATTGTTCATTTTCTTGATGATCCTCTACCAAAAACGTTAATTTAATATAACACTTTGTCATTTCACATTGATGCGAATATCATGGCGTCCCATTCTGTTCCCTATACGAACCAAATCTCGTTCCCTTCTGTGCGTAGCACGAATGAAATTCATCGTCAAGGAATGCGACTGGATTTATTTGTCTGCAGTAGCTTTGATATCCCCAGCAGGCAAAAGAGTATCGTGCATAAATTTTGTCTTGAACTGATCTTCCATTAATCATATCACATTTGCCACTATATATTTTGCCAGCACAACTCAATCATTCACTATTTTGGCTAATGTGCTTTAGTTAAACAAATATAAAAAGGATCATCAACATGTTAAAATAAATGAATCGTTTCATTTTCAATCAGAAAAGATGTTGTAAACGGTACAGTCCATAAGACAGTGTGTACAGTTATAGTATAAGAATATATGTAGATAATATATTAATGGTTAAAGTATAAAATATTTTTGTAAGAATGTTAACAATTAATAAAATTAAATTTTAATATTTATAGTAATACGACAAAAGAATGTTATATAAAATGTTTCCTTTTCTTAGATTATTTTTTGAAGAAAGCATACAGAATTTCATCATCTATCATTACATATACAGTAGAATATCATCTGATATTTCCCAAAAAAGTTTATAAAATAAATTGACGAATTTCTTTGTCCAAACAGTAAATTACAAACAGCAATTCTTCAATTTAAAAATATTCAAGATTATGGTATTAAAATTACATTTTAAATAGTTATCTATGTGTTATTCTTACACAATATAACATTTAATTTATTTGCATAACATGCCTTGGCAGATCGATGTATCATATAAAAATATAAATATTTCATTATTTAAATGTCATTAAAATATTATAGCAAAATATATGTTAAATGTACAATCGGATAGCAGTACAAATTTTCCACCGAGTAGAGCAGAAATAATTTCTAATTAACGGTTAAACTTTTATCTTTCAATAATACAAACCAAATAGAAAAAGAAAGTTAACGACATGATTTGAGTTACACAATATTCCAGTACTTTCGCTAAACGTTGATTAATGGATACGGAAGAAATGTAAGAAGATCGAGACACGAATATAAACGGATCAATCATGCGAGACCGATCCATTTAAACATCGCAGAAGAAGAGATTGTTCTTAACAAGAGGCAATAATGATCGTAGTATAAACAAGATTATTTCATGGAATTTTTACATCGTCAAAATATTTTTCGATATACTCGTTTCAATTGCTCATTAATACTTCAAAATTGCATAATTAATTATGACTATATATCTTGTAATTCAAATTAATTTTAATATTAGATATTCTAATTACGTTCATATTTTTGAAATCTTATTACTGTTTTAATTATAGATTAGATTTCATAAATGCAAAATATAATTTGCTGTAATTAATGTCAAGTGTTTTTTTAAATTTAATCATGTTTTAATTGCCTTTCTTTTAGAAAACTTATAATTTAATTATTTGAGATGCAGGGATTTTTAGCAAGAAATATGTGTGTGAGCAATGAAAATTTTCTTCGTGATGTTATGAGTATAATGTATATTTAAATCGCATATTTAAATTAATATCTATAGTAATTGAACCGGTCGCTTTCTAGAGAAATCGTTCTCCAAATGCTGTTGTGTCCCAGAGCTTGATACTTTTATAATTAGAAACACACGCAAATTGCAATTTAATTATATGCTATGTTTTCAGGTATTTCGTTAATTGCGGATGAGAACTACATCGTTTCCCTTTTACAGTTTACCCTACGACGGCTTCAATGGATTCAGATGCAAGATAATTCGATTCAGAAACTTTCAAAGTTTCTATCTCGATTTCACACTCGATCAAACCAGTTACCATTCTATGGTGCTTTTAGGGTTTCCGTGAGTCCAAAATTATTCCGTATAGCAAACATAAAGAGAGCAAAATTTTGAACGAATTTTATTTACGGATTTGAAATCTTTATTGTAACAATATTTCCACAGCGAGATTTTATTATTTAACAAAAATTGCAATAAAATGTGAACTTAAAATTATATTACCGAAAAAGATATTTATGGCTGTTTCTTATCGTGATATGATATAATACGCATGTAATATTTCCGTGCGACGGGAAACGTATTAGATATAAGAACATAAAAGAACTCGATCAATTTTCTTTTTGTTTTTTTCTAATCCGTTATAAAATTAGCATGATATCTCGATACACTACTATTTTTAAAAATCAAAATCTTCAAGGGAACGTAATGACAAGAATATATGCACAAAAATTTAAACATCAAACGAAGAGGGAGAAAGATATAAGATTGCCCATAAACCATGTTATCTGATCACATATCTGCGCACGTATGTATTTAGACACGCAACATTCCGCAAAATCGTAAAGCAGATTTCTGAAATATTCATTAGAGGTTCGTATAAAGCGAGAGTTACAATTGCTGAGATGCAATGCGTTTCTCACCTATAATACATCTATGAATAATAACTAATTCTACATTTTTTAACATTAATTTAGCGTTAGTAAAATATCGCGGATATAATGAAATTTATAAGATAAAATCGAAACTATTTATTTTTACATTTTAACGCAGCAAAATCTACCCAGGCGAAATCTGTTTCAATTTCATTTTAATATTAAACGTTATCGTTAATATTCTAATTTTTTTACATTATGCAACAATACATATATAATTTTTTTCAAACATGAACATTATTTATTTTCCAATTTCGCGCTTTGGCTATGAAATAACTTCATTACGCAAATATATATGAGATTTATTCAGTCAATATGGAGAACAATCTATCAACATTTATGAAAATAGGTTTTCGAATCTATATTGTAAAGTTCTATGAGATGTTAAAGGGTACTAATATCCATCATGTGGAATTGAGTTATATTTTAGCAGACAGTCATGCTTCAAAATGGTTCGTATAGTCATTAAGGTATCATCAATCTTGTGCTTTTCTTATGCGTACGACAATAAAGTCACTGTTAGAACAGGTGCTACATTTAGATATGCCAACATTATTAACTCAATTATAGAACAATAAAGTCCGATAATGCATATAAGAATTCATCCAGCATATCCAAAACAAAAATGAAATTATGCAGAATTGTGTCAAAGTGATATTACCAATTATTACGGCGAACAAAATAGTTTATTAAATTAATAATGAAAGATCTTTGATGTTTCTCAATCTTAACTAAATAATATTTTAAGAGATACCTTCTCGCTTATATAACCGCAAATAACGTAACCGTTCTTTCAGTTTGGAACTCGAAATCGCTTGAGCGTAAAAGAAACTTGCGTGTATCAGCACGACAACTATTTCACATCATTTTTATCGAGTATTTCGCGAAACACATCAGAATTGTGTGGTAAAAAAGCATTGAAAATTTACAAGAAATATTGCTTTCAGTAGCAGCAAAGTGACGCACACAATTTAAACATCGTTTGAAACAAAAGAAAAATATTCACGCCTAAAAATATTTGAAATACACGTACAAAATTTGTTTGAAAAGCTATTTCAATATCCCCCAAGTATTTTCCACATAGTTTACAGCGTAGCGCGATAGACAAATAAAAATTTATAATAGATATTTCTGAAATTCAATATATAAACTTGGTATCGTTTTGTTGAACATTCGAAATCGATCGACATAACTCGTAAGATTTTGGTAGCCTTGGCCTGTAAAAACTACCTGCGCATTTCGCAAGGTCAGTTTCGAGTCTTTTCAGCCTCGAACAACACTACCATATTTCGCGAAAGCATTTCTTCGCAATAAAGAAAATTTCCAATGTGCCTTCCACATGTGTAGGCACACGTGTTGCGGTTTTTCTTTCCAGAAACTAGAGCAATTTACGGCCTTTAAAATTCAACGCAATATTTGACCTAGTCGCATACGTCACTAACATTTCTTCGCAATGTAGCCCACGTCCGCTTGCACCAGATATTGTGTTACGTATTTTTAAGCAAAATTTATTGCTTTGCAAAAGATCCGTACAAAAGATAGCATATGGTGGTACCATGAAAAGAAGACTACAGCATGTACAAATCTTTACCATAAAATAACTTTACCATTTGGTAAAATCCGGCAATTGTATGTGTGACGAATCGTAAAATAATAGTGGAAGTATAACAGAATCTCCTGTAAATGAGGCTTTTCTAAGCCTCAACATTTCATAGATTTGCGGGTTGCATTTATTCATACAACATGTTTTGCTAATATATTGTTCTGTTAATATTACTTCCTTAAAAGCAATGTTCAATCGAATATAAAGCGGAAAGTTTCAAAGGAATAAATTCCGTTGAATTTTACAGGAAACACAACTAATATATTGTTCTACTTCGTACTTCAAAAAAAGTTCGTACTACGAAATCTATATTTTTGTCAATTTATTACAGTTATTTTATCATCATGCATTAGATTACTTACCGATTCCATAGCTCTTCTACATTTGCAACGTTACTAGCAACCTCACGATGGCGAACTGCATCCGATGGAAACAAACTGCAACAGCATACTCTAATTAAATAATAAAACCGACTTTGGCATCGTCAACCTTTTTGACAAATTTATAAGTAATTTTCAATTCCAATTCTTTCAAAATCATTGTATCATCCCAATATTTATTTCAGAAACAATCTACTCGTGACAATTCGAGGAATTTGTGTAATATTATATACTTTTATACTTATATATTTGTGCAATATTATACTTTTGTGAAACACAAGTTCTCACACAAGATCCAAGGTTTTAAAATCAAGTTTATGGCAGAGTTTTATATTTCAAATTTAGTTAATAGTTTCTAAAAGTCATTAATATAATTTCTCCTTACCCACTATTTATATCGTCTTCATGGTGAACTAGGCAATCAAATAGACGAAATTTTCGTTTCTGGCCGACGCGAACAGGTATGACCGCGAATTATAAAACTGTTGTGTAGAAGATATTAACCCTAGCAATACACCAACCATGAAATCGGACTACTAGTCAAAATGAGAGCGTGACAACGTTGCTTGCGAAGAAAAAAATCAATTTGACAACCGGTCAACTTCTCGATCGTACCAGTAAGGTGGCAGCACCTCGCCGCGATTTCTCTCGTCAGTGGCAACGTCGATGGCCGTATTTTTTTTTCTTCGTTCACGTTGCTGGCAGATTAGGCTAATGCGATGGACCAGATGAGATATGGCCCAGCGAATGGGAGTACAGTACTCGCATGGCAGGGGCGTGACTGTACCCTGGAAACGGCCGTGCCCGGGGCCGCAATCGCGACGTAAACTAAGTGCTGGGTGGAGCCCCGTCTAGGCACTACCTACTCGATGGAACCATCATACTCTACCTCGAATGTCACGGGGGCAGTCTAATGGTTGCCGGTATCCTTGAAGAGGCGCCAGTTTCAAATAGTAGTTTAAGTTAACAAACGTACGATTGTATTTTTTAATTATGATATTGCTTTACGTTTGGCTCTTGTCCTCGATTGGATCATCATCGATGTGCGCCGTACCTGTCGCATTATCCCATTCAACGTCTGAGTGATTCATCGGTTTGTTAAAAAAATATAGTTAGAGGCTTTGCATCTTTTTTTACTAATATTTTTATTTTATGTACACATTCGCTCCAATAATTTTTTGGACGAAATAAAAATATGTATCTTTCGTTTATAATTATAATGTATATTTTACTGATAATAGAAGTGGTTATCTTCTGTTGCATTTTTAATACAAGCACTTTTTATATTAAATGTTATATCTTCATCAATTTTGAATTATCGTCCGTTCACTTAGTAAATCACAGATAGTGTCACTCTAGATCTTCATTTCATCATTCGTATTTAATTGATTCATATAATACGATGAAACAGCATCCACATATCCATGTATCCATAATAAATTATTGTGTAATTGAATCTGAAAAAATAAGAAAAAATATTTTATTATTACAAGAAATATAATTTCTAATTATAATATAAAAAGTAATTTGAAAAAAATATGTAAAGGTAGATAGACACAGATAAGGTAAATGCCTCCATGCAATAAATTACTGCAAAAAATATAATAATTAAAAAAATAAAAAAGAAAAAGCTGCATGTGCACAATGAATAACTCATAATAGTATTGACATAAGAGAGAAAAAAAGTATAAATAGAATCTTTTCAATTTGTTCGACGTGGTACCCGGCAATACCACTTACGTCACCCTGGTCGTGAAAGTTTATTGAATCTACGAGGTCGCGATATTTTTAACGGGGAACAATGAAGCGAACGTATTTGCGCCAATCTCGCGTACAATGCATTCCAATGACCTCGGGTGAGAAAGGGCAGCAAAAGATTTTAAAAAAACGTCCGTCCGTCGAACAAACACTTTTCAGTCTATCAGCCCTCACACGGTAGTTTTTCATGCCCCGCTTACTCGTTTCAACCCCTTGCTCATTCCCACGCCATTCGTCTGTCTACCGATATTCGTCGGTAGGGCCATATCTCCCGGCTACTTTTCAATTTCATTCGACGAGAGCGCACCGCTCCCGCCGTGTGTGCGTGTGTGCGTGTGCGCGCCTCTTTCTCGCCGTCCGTGTCCAATTCTGGACGACATAAATCCGATAAGTTTTTATTATTTAGCATATCTGTAGCCGGTGAGCAACGGCTACAGTCGTCACCTAGAATCCCGTTGAGAGGCCGCGGACGGTCGCTTGGTAGGAGCAACACAACTGGCAGAGAGCGGTAGGGGACCGAAGTCGGCGTGGTGGCGCAGCGGCGAAATTTCTGTCGCGAGACTACGTAGCACGGTTGGCGGTCCCAGGGGATGCCCCGTTGATGTCATCGGGACATCCGGCTAATTGCGAGGATGTTTTGTTAGTTTCTCGGAGTACGCGAGTCTCTCCCCTTACAAGGTTTTGCATTTAGCCTTTCTATACATCGGCGACGTGGACCCAGACCCAAACTTCCTAAAACACCTGGAAATGCGCCCCACTCGAAATAAATTCGCATTAATTCAGCAAATGTCAGCTTGTATCTTATTACTAAAGCAGAAAAATAATATAAATCTAGCCAGACCGCATATATCTATCTATAAAATCCTAGATAGTCACACATTCCGCAATCAGCATTATTTAATATGCAAGAATGTTCATTCATATAAGATAACAGTATTATATTAATCAAGACTCAACGACGTTAAAGGATATGTAAAATGCTTTCAGATATTCAAATATATTTTACATAATTGATATTTTTACAAAACCATCGTACGATTTACGAGTCGTACGATTTACTAATTTACATAATGCAATTATTACTGTTGTATCACGTTAAGAAAGTATCGCGAGCAGGTGTTTTTCGAATAGTTATAAAATCTTTTACAAATATGCAATATTGATAAAAAATAAATGACTAATTTAATATAGCAAATTATAAAGTTTTTGATGAATATATCGTCGAATATTAGAGAACATATATTGCTTGTGATGTTTTAAATGTGAACATTGATTGCGGAAGAGACGCCTACTTCGCTTGGCGGTTTGCAGAGCAGTAACGATGTTCGGGGATAGAGTGAGGTATCCTAGGGAGGAAAGAAAGGAGAGGGGGTAGTGATATTATTGATTTATGTCCCGTTATACGTTATGTATCCAACGGCGTCCTCCGCAGCATACAATGATCCAACTAAAGCACAATATTGTTCACACCTGAGAATTGACTACGATAGAATTTTTTTCAAATTTTCTCTTTTACAAAAATAATAAGCATACCCATTAACATGTTTTTTTTTTTTTTCGTATAATCCTAGGATTTGAAATGTAAAAACTAACTGAGAAGATTAATGATACGATTATGTTTTATCTACACTTTGTTGGAAATTTCTTTGTAGGATTATGATCTATCTATTAATATAAATATTATTGTTAAATAAAGTGTATTAAATAAATAATTTTAAAAATTCAAGAAATTATTTCATCCAAAATTGTTTAAAATCTCAATATTGTTAAAGTCAGTTTAAATCTAATGTGTCCACAATGCGAACGCTCGAACCTCCATAAACTCCCGGTAATTGTCTATATTATCGGACATCTCCATCGCACAAATCGAAACTGATCATCATCAACGGAAACAAACGCCGCGGAAGCAGTCAGGACAGGCGAGCAACTATCGCGTACGGGCATTTCCAGGGAAGTAGGCGTTCGTGATATCAATTATCTTCGATACGATTTACATTGTACGAAATGCAGCGTGTACGAGGATTGTGCTGTTGTGTGATGCGCGACGGAAATTGAGTGGGGATAGCCAAGCGGGGCGCGGTGAGGAGACAAAATCGTCGAAGGTGGCAATAGTGGGGGGTCAGCGAGCGGGAAGCGCCGAAAATTGATGCATTCTCTATGCAAAATAGCAGAAGCACGAGGCTAATAGTAGCCGGGCAGCACGCAACCAGAATTCCTCTATGGCAACCGCTTACCATTCTCTCTTCTCCCCTCTGTCAAGCTTCTACCTACATCACCACCTCCGTCACCTACGTCCTGGACAGAATCGAGAGCGGCATAGAAGCCGTTAACACTCTATTAACACTAACGACGCTCATACATAACAACGGTGCCGCGGGGATAGAATTTATGGTCTATTAATGGGGGTTACTTTATGCGTTATGTAGTTGTAGTCGTCATGCCGACAGGTAGTATGACGTAAATTTTACGAGGCCCCGCGCGGAGCGTCCGTGTATGCAATAAGTTACACGTGAGACCCGTTATTAATGTGTTTACACTAGATATTCGTGGATTCGGTCGGCGCCACTTTTCCTGTTAACCGCCGGAACAATTCCCCCCGGGTTGGACCAAGTGAATTAAAATCCGACCGTTAAACGCCCATAAGTATAATGAAGCATGCGAGCAGCCAAAGAGTTAGCACGCACCAAGTATATAAAGACATAAATTTAGACCATGGACTTAGGGATAGCGGGCTTCTCAGATTAGAAGCCACAGAGTCTTATCTCCTTCTTCTTCCGTCTTCCCAAATCCGCGCGATTCTATATTAATTTACATGAGTCAAAAGTATTCATTATCTAGACGTTATGTTTCTACAACTTTAAGATATGATTATTTAATGGAAATTGATTAATAAAATTTTTGATTTTTTTTTTTCATATTAAGTTTATTATAAAATTTAATCTGTATAATATTCTTTGTTAACTGTATATTTTTCCCGAATATTTTGTATTATAGAAATACCCTTTTAAGTTAATATGTTTCAACTTACTATTGGCATCATTCAATCTAATTCAAGTACGTAATAATTAAATTTTTTAAAAGATAAAACTGACTTTCAGAAAATAAATCTTTTTTTCTTTGACACGTATTCTTCAGATAGTAAAACACATTTCATGTAATATGTTATTGCACTAAATTTGAAAAGCAAAGGAAAAAGAAGGGGGGAGGGAGAGAGAGAGAGAGAGAGAGAGAGAGAGAGAGAGAGAGAGAGAAAACAGGTGTACTTGTAATCTCTCGCGAAATGCGAGTAAACAAGAAAGTTAACGGGCTCACCGCTCGTCGAGTGCAGCGTAGTCGAGTGCCAAAGTTCATCGTGAGATCCTGCCCTCCTCACGGGCTAAAGGAGACGCGGCAAGGCCGGTAAAGTGATAAAGCGGCCATAAATTCTAACCGCCATCCTCCCACCGGCTCCTCTATCTTGCCGGGTCTCTACTCCGCCGACTCTTCGCTCTCTCCCATCCTCGGCTATCTCGCTCCCTCCCTTCGTTCTGCCTACGGATTCCCTCCTCGCCTCGAATGCATTTGCAACGTGGATGCACCTGCAACAACCGAATTGGCAAAGGTCATCGTGCGCTTCGTTGCTTTAAATCGTAAATACGCAATCCACTATACAGATATACTCACTTGACGATGAATTCTTCTGTTTCTCTATCTCACGTGACCCGGATTCGTTACCCAGTTCCGGAAGTGCGATAGCATTACGAGACTTCCGCCGATTATACTCACCTTTCGTCGCGTCAACAGATGCGGTAGATAGCTTCGCGTTAATTCATTGATCTCTTTATAGCAAGATTTAAATTGACGAATATATGAATATGTATTAATGTACTTGCTCGATTTATGTTTAACGTCGCTAATTATACATATACAACATTAACAGAATATCGCAAATTGATGTAAAAAATACACTTCGATCAATTATTGGTTGATTAATAAAGTGCGTAATGCAAATTAATATTAAATTAGATATTGCTTAGATTTTTTTGAAGTAAGAAACGTTCAGATTCGCTTGCTACGTAAATCATTTAAACATATATTTTAAAAATTAATATAAAATTCTTTTATATTAATTTTTTAAAATATTTTTATCAATTTTAATCATCTATTCTGATTACACTTATAAAGTGATTATTTACCCTAAACATTTTACCCTGATATTGCAATCAAAATCATTATGCATGTCGCGCAATGTAATTACAATATAACAGATACATGAATCTTTGCGCAAACTTGGACAAATGAAAAGATGTTTCTAATCCTTGCGGTATTAAAAATAAAAAAATAAAAAACCAAGCGTGAATAATCGGAAGGCGGCAAGATAAACCCCGCGATATCTGAAATTGAATCTGCTATTGACACTTGAGGCATGCCGGACTGCACGTGGACACGTGGAACGAAGACGTCTGTCCGTCGTGGAAGAATGGTTGCAGCTGCACTCGGTCGAGATGTCGAAATCCAATATCGCAAATCCGAGCATACCTACCGTCTAGGCGAGCTAGGCAGCGGTGTGTTCGTTGCAGCGCAGGGGCGAACAGACAGAAATCCCAATAAATCATCCCGTCACGAGCCGTGAGCCAAGGCGGGGCCTCTTGCTTCGTATTAGCCAATAATAATCCTCTCCGAGGTGGAGGCCATCTTGGATTATACAATGGTTCCTTCCGCTGCAATTCGTATAAACGCAACCTCCGGGTATGCTGGACTACTCTCTCGAAAGGAAGCCAGTGGCGTACTAATCGCGATATCCCCGCACGAGTATAGAAATCATGATTTCACGCTGAGAATCTGCGAATCCAACCGGGAATCTCGTCTACTCCGCCGATTGACCACCGCGAAAAGTAGATTCTCAAATCTGCATAGCGTCGTGATACGATGTAATGATAAGAGGGACACGACACACATCCGTTTTTTTTTTATACATACCACATCCTATTTCATATTCAACCACAATTTATTTCTCGTTTTCAAACACAGCTATTATAATTAATATAATAATAATTATTATTATTATTAATATGGACAGACTCTTATATAATATAATACAATACGGTTTAGACTCGTCGACATGATAGCATGTAATACTATTATCCATTGTCGTCGTCTTCATCATTATACATAATACATACTTCACTCGCGTAAGATATCGTTTACCATTGCAATCATCATCAACATCGTCACTGTCGTACTTTTTATGTATACATATAGTTTACATAATGCGAGACACTACAAAATAACTATATACGTTTGTTGTAGCTGTAATAATTATCGTATATTTATATTTAAATATATATATTTATATATATAATTTATATGTATATATATATTTATATATATAGATTCATTTATTTATATTTTTTTTCTTCGATTTATCGTTCGATTTAAAGTAGTGTTGCCCACGTTTATTTTCGGCTGCTAGGCACACCTGTACTTAAATATTTCTTCCGCACAATCGTTGGAACGAATGCATTGTACCCGGTCTTTTGTAAATAGGCAATGTGTATATACTGTATGTTGAATTTGTATTTATGTACGTGTGTATGTGTATACGTGTGCGTATATAATACGTAGAATATATGATACATGTACACTTTGTGTTTTCGGTCGGGGCAATGCGTAACCATGGTGACTCAAGTGTGTAGCTGAGAGATAGCAAACTTAATCGCAGATCGTACGTCATGTTTCAGGAAAACATGTTAACGCGAATTTTTATGGTACAAGCGACGTTCTACTTAAATAAATCGCGGCTTGTTTCCTAAACCGTTGCCTCACATGTAGCATATCCAGTACTCGCTCCTCGCACTTATATAGATCGATTCCTAGTGACCTTGGCACGGTTGTATTTCGTAAAAATCGCATAAACTTTCCATATGGACATTAAACGTTATTGTACAGAGATATCAAGATCTACTCAAATAGCCAAGCCTCTGTCGTTAAAAATCTAGCAGAATCTGCTGATATTGTCAGTAGATTGGCAGAAACCAAGCAGAATCTACTGTTTTCTAGCTATTTAAATTCTGACGTAATCGGTATTGAAAAATCTTTAAAATAAAATTCTATTCTTTTTAATCTTTATTTTAAAGAAATAACTTTATTCCTTTAATATTAGTAGGTAATATTAAAAGGTTCTGTTTGATTTCTTCTGCCTGATTATATGAACAAGGTCTATAATATTTTGATTATGGGATTCTCATAAGTCTAAAGCGTACGTCAAAAATTGTAATACTGCTTTTTTTCGATTCAAATGATTTTAAAATATTTGAGAACCAAGTTATTAACAATAACAGTAAAATAAAAATCTTCAAACAAAATTTTGATAAAGAGAATTCTTTTATAATCAAAATTCTCATAGAGTGCGACACACTGGAGAAACCGGAGGTTCATCAGCGGACGACAACGTGGCGGTTTTCGAAATATTGTCATCCTCTTACTCTAGTTATATTTCCGTCGAGTCGTTGAGTAATCAAGTTACCCGGGGAACTCAACCATGTGAATATCGTTACTATATCGTATCAATAAATAGTGATTAATTAGACCTCTGCTACCGTTACTTTGTAAGGTTTTTAATCTAATAAACAGGTACCTACTTTACCTACGCGGTATCGTATACAGGGGTCGCGGCTCGCGATTCGATACCGCGACGTCAGACGTCGCCTTTCACATTGCCCTGCCGATAATTTAAAAAAAGGAAAACTTTCATCCATATATACTTTTCACATGACTATAATTATATACAAATGCATCTTGTTTGTCTCCGTGTCCACCGGGACATCAGAATGAAAGTTATACATAGAGCAATTTCGGCAATTTTTTATTGCTTGTATTTGGATGTCAACTCGATTTGTACAAACGAAAAAAGTTTCACAAGTTCCGAAGTCGCTCCAAATTGAATTTCAATCTACGAAATTCTTTTGGAATAATTAATTAATTGAGAATATTAATAACGCACAGTTAAATAATTATTTCTATTGATAAATAATTATACCGGTCTTCTTGTTTTAGCGACTATTGTATACAATATTCTTGTCTCGTGTTACGGAGTCTATCAGTCTTCAAATGGCGGAACCTATGTATAATCGATGAGACCGCATGTATCTCACGAAACGTTTGAAATAGCAAAAAATCGGAAATTTTTTTATGTATAGTTATGGCAATCTCCTCTAACTGCATTACATAAACAATACATTTATAATGACTTAATCTTTTTTTCACATTTATGTCGAAGTATGATTTAGGAATTAAATGAAGCGAGTACAGTAAATGTATCAGGCAATTTAGTGCAGTACAAAATTTATAAAAAAGATGAACCCATTCCAATGTGTATTAATATTTTCCAAGTGATACCGAAATTTTATCTGTATCTTTGTCTCACATGTTATGGAAACAATATTAACTAAATATTTCACAACAATGTTCGATGGATGATGATGGAGCGAGGGACTTGCTTATTTATACATTTTACGTATATTTGGATAGAAATACGATATACCTGAAAGGTATACGAAACTAATGACACACTTTCCTGCGATAGGAAGTCAGGAACTCTTCGGCGCATACACGTATGAGACGTTTTGTTTAATTTGCTTAATCAATTTGCGCGTAATAAAAAAATGGATCAGATTAGAAAATAGCAATTTGCAAAAGGATAAGAGAGTGAAATATGAATACGCGGAAAAATGTTTTTGCGATTTCTTGTGCTTTAAACGTCGTTTCGTATCTACACGTACAATCCGATAAAAATGATTGGATATGCGAGAGTACAACATCAGCATAAGGATTTCGTATTCTCTACCGATCCACGTCATTTCGTAGAGATACTCAAGGAAGTGTTAGAATAATGGTACATATACAAATATCTCTACAACTTTATCTAGTACATTATAAAAAATATTTATTGTATAATCAATTAAACAAACAGAAAGATCCACTTTGCGGTATATATAACATGTATCAATAAATATTACCGGACTAAACAATATTACGGTCTGAAAGTTACTCGTTCATTGACAAGCGTTACTTCTTATATTTGTTTGTTTTCGTTTGTTCTACTTATCTGGTAGCGTTTCTTTTTTTTTGCGGATAGCCTAGTTAGAAAGATCGGACTTATGTACATTTTTTTTTGCAAGTGCCGCCGCTCTCTCGCGTATCGTGGACAATAATAAATAAAATTTTCATTGCGCGTTTCTCCCGTGGTGTACGCTTAATGGCGGATACGGTTCTTTTATTTAGACGAAAATCCAATTAAAAATTTACGACTCCACCGCCACCTCCGCTCACTGCGCGACCGACACATACCCGTTTACTTAACGCTATTTCTTTATTTTTACGAATTAGATTTTAGATGTTACTCTTATCGAATACGGACTATCTTAGTGACATACTTCGTACGTACACACTGTTGCATTTACGTTCAGTTTTTTTTTACGTTCTACTTTTGCATACACTCACGGTACTTGGTTTAATTTACGTATATCTTGTAATTTAATGCGCATATATACGAGTAAAGATAAAATATATATTTTGCATTTTATTCCTCCCAGTTAATACTATGAATTTCCCTTCTCGCGTTATATATAATATATGTATATACTTTTAATCTATAAGTAATAGGTTCGCTATATCCAATAGATACAAAAGTTCATTTTTTTCTTTAATTGCGTACGTTTTCGCGGCGATCGCTCACCACAATTACTTTTACAGCACCGAAATCCATCATATCTTTCTTTAAACGCATTTTTATTTAAACATTTTATTGCACTATTCAACTTTTGTACACATTACAATCGAATTAAATGTTTGCAAATAATCTTCGATTTGATAGATCGGTACTGTCGAATTTAATATACAATTTCGACGAATATTAATATCCAATCATAAGAATCTCATCTCTAGTTTATTATCATTCCCTCTTTAGCAACTTAGAAAGAAAATTAGATCGGTCTCCCGAAATTGGATACATGAAATTTTTTTGGTCATAGTATCATAACAATTGATATCAAAGAATAAGAAACTCTTCCCTACCAGAAATGATAAGAAGTCTTGTGTCTCGTGAATCGCACTCCCTTCTCTACCATTAAAAAATGTTCTTTGATTAATATAGTTAGAACTACATGCAATTTGATCGCAATAAAATATGTGAAAATCCATATAATATCGTGCAAAATTGCATATCGTATGTCTACATAAAATTACATAAATCATTCATCAATAATACAACTGTACAACTGTTGTACTTCAGAAGCTAAAAAAACGTAAAATTTGGTACAATTTATGGTTAAAAAAAAACTCAAAAATAACTTCTATATATCCAAATTACATAAAACCGAATAAACCGAGGAACGAAAATGTAAAAGATGAATTCTCTCATGAGACTCATGATTAGCTATAGATTACACGGGCGTTTAAAAAACACGCGCAATAGCGAGCGACCGCCGCGGATTTTCCGCTTCACACAGTTCGTTGCTCCTCAAGGACAAAGAGTTTTACATAAATAAATTTCTCGAGAAGGAAAGGCTGGTCACACATTGCTCGATCGATTAACGAGCGCAAGCTGGACCATACGTTACGTATATCGATTACACGATTTTTATGCCACTCTCTTCGCCTCTTTCTCCTATTTTTTTTTAGTAAAGAGATGGTAAGGAGCCGAATTCTGCAGTGAGTTAGAAGATTAAACCACCTCTATAGGCATTTTTTCGATCGCTGTTCATAATTAGCACGCGGTTATTAATATCGTTTATTACGTATATCATTAATTATGGTGTATACAAGATATACACTAAATAATTATGTCGAATCTAAGTTTACAACACAGCACAAGAATTCACCGCGGCGGAATATATGGGCTCGCCTGGCTACAACGTAGCCAGGCTTTCCTGGATCTCCCAATACGGCATAATCGAATCAATTCATCGAACCAGATCAGACGATCGAGTTGACGAGTGCTCTGATACCGCTTGCCACACTTAACACGCTTGTTCCAATACAAATGTAACAAATTGGATTCTTGCTGATCACACCGACATATTTATCATATATAGAGATATTTACATTATATTTCGTAACATGAAAACTAAATAGAAATAATTCTCATATATATATAAATAGTAAAAAAAAAAATTCACAAAAGAAGCACAATAACTTAATTAAGAAAACTAAAATAAAGATTATTTGAATTCGTTTCATATTATACCAAAAAAATTAAAAAAACAATATATTTATTTGGAATGATACTTGTAATACAATTAAATTATCGTACACAAATAATAAAAAATCTTCTTTTGGTTAAGATAGCACTGAGCCACTATTAAGGTGCCAAGCGGTTTCATGCCGAAAGCATCCTATTCCGAAAATACGCTATGTATTATAACACTTGGTAACTTGGCGTCATGTCGCGCGGAGCAAGAGCAAATTTTCGATAGCTACTAATGCAAATAAACTTTCGTTCCTTGAGTTATCTTCTTTTAATATTTACAGAAAGAAAGAAGAATTTGCAACGCTATTACGAGTATAACTATTGCATTTGCTCTTTAAAAAAAAAATTCTAAAGAAAATAATTTATTCGAGATCACATTACATGTCCGACATTGTAAAAGACGTTAAGCTATATACATTTATTTAATATCAAATTTCATTAAATATTATCAAATATCTTAATATCAAATAGTTGTTTTTTGAAATAATTTGAACTATTTCAAGTATAAACTAAAAGTGTTTTTTGATCCAAATAATAGGTAATAATATAAAGTACATTTTTCTAAATTATCGAAAATAATGTCAAAAATTTTGATTAATTTGAACGTCCTTTTCCAAGCGGGCACGCTTTTCAGCTAGGAAAGAACTGCTTATATACATTATATATTCGTTTTGAGCAATATGCGTGTTAGGAACAAATTTTTCCAACTATCGGTCATTAAACGGATAAGCTACAGTTTTTATGCATTATCAACTGCACAAAAATGTAAGCTTATTTATCCGTTGGAGTTCAAAACTTATTGTTCTTATTAAATGCACGATGATTCAACGAGAAACAAAGTAATGTAACCGATAATTGCATATTATTAGCAATCTTTATAAGACTAACCTTGCGATGACGCTGATGAAGAAATGCCAAGTCCATTTGACTCTGCTCCGCCGAAGGGCGCTGTTTTTTTTTTTTTTTCATATTCACTTTATCATTCAGCACTAGTCTGTCCCATTCACGGTCGCCTTTTCCGCATACAATATTTCAAAAACAACGCCATGACTTTTTATATTTATACATCCAAATTCACTGATCTTCCATGGAATTAGTTTTGCACACACTTGTATCACTGTTCTCAGGAAAAGACGTAAACTTCGCGATTTTCCTCTTCCGCTTCTGCACTTGCTCCTTGTGTCCACCTGCTGTATCCCGCCGTTACTCTCGAATCCTTTCTCGAATTTTATGAAAACACATTCTCAAAGATCACACTTGGCACGAATCATAAATATCCTCGTTAGAGCCACCGCTCGACGGTATTAAAGAAAAAAAAAATCTATCTAAACAATCCTCTAAGGACACTAAACCGCATATCTATCGCTAAATACAGATCGCGATGGACACCTTTCGTACGGCTATATTCTATTAATCGTCCTATAATTCTACTTTACGATGTAAGAGAATAAATAATAAAATGCTCTCCTAAGATTTCAACACGATCTTTTTTTCTATCATACTCGCATTCAGATTCGCGCATATCATTCTTTCTCAGCAGATTTAACTCTCGTAATACTCTAACATTCGAAACCACGTCTTTAACATGCGTTGGTACCAATCGGTCATCGGTCACTCGCTCCCACGATTTCACATTAAACTACATACATTTTCATCCATATATATATGTATATATACATGTATATATGTATGTATGTATGTGTATGTGTATATATATATATATATATATAGTGTATACATATGTAAGTGTGTGTATACATATATATATATATATAGACTTTAGTATACAATAATCGATTAAACGTAATAGAGGTTAACGCGGTTCTGATTAGCATGTGATCCAGTTTTTATTTACTCTTTTCGATCAATAATCTCGATCCACCTTATTCACGCGCATTCACGCAAATCCTCTGCTGACTCGTTTGTGCGTCTTTACTTTTCGTTTTGTTCTCTTCTTTTTGTTTTCACGTCTCTAGATTTATCGTGAGTTCCCTTCTTATCGTCTAATCGTCATCGAGCGCTCTTACGGGTCCTTTTACAACTTCCTCGTCTTCATCATTATCTGCTTCGTTTTTGGTACAAGCAACATGATTAACACGACAAAATAAGCGTCATTGCTTAGAGGGATCATTTGGAGGTCATCGATGGGGATTGGAGATTGGGTGGGGAGGAGGTAGTGCTGGAAACAAGGTATTAACGACCCTGAGAGAGGTGGAAAGGAAGTTCCACTCCTCGGAGCTCTTTTAACCCTGCGGCGACGTCTGCGGCGAGATTTCAGTGTCGCCATCGCCTGAGCCTGGCTCACCTTTCGTCTTGTTCTCTTTCTTCCACTTCATCCGTCTGTTTTGAAACCAGATCTTTATCTGCCGTTCCGTCAGACATAGCGCGTGTGCGATCTCGATGCGTCGCCGCCTAGTAAGATATCGGTTGAAGTGAAATTCTTTCTCCAATTCTAACGTTTGGTATCGTGTATAGGTCTGCCGACCCCGTTTCCTTTCTGAAACAGAAAAAGTGAAAATTTCTAATTAGTAATTAATATTAATTGTTACATGTTCTAAAATTATTATGTTACATCTAAATACATGCATAAGAAGAAAAGTCGAATTGTACACGATATGTTTCAAGTAGTAATGCATTATGCTTTGACGCGGTTGCGCTTGCATATAGACAAAGCACAGCCACAACACGGACAATCATCTTATCTTTAAATTACAAACGACCCGTTAACTAACACATTTAATAAGTCCTACAGCCTGTGATCGGCCGATAGAGGTTTCTGTAAACCTTAACGAAATGAAAATGCCGCCGCGATAATACATTAAAAAAAAAAAAAAAAAAAAACTCGGGATCGTAAATGCAGTTCCGCATATGATAGATATCTTAGCGATATCCGCGATATGATCTGCGGTCGGTGCGCAGTACACGAATCCCGAACAAGAATATTAATTATGGTTGCCAAGAGAGAGCGAGAGAGGTGGGAAAGACGGACGAAGATACTAAGGAGACAGAGCGAGTTGACTCTGTGTGAGAAGTCTCGCAACTTTACAAGGTATAAACCTCAAAGGGTTTGGTTCGGTTAACCCGCCATACGAGTGTGAGAGAGCAAAACGAGAATACTTCAGAATGGTATGAGGGAGGGAAGAAGGAAGAAGAGAGGCGTAGGGATGAGAACTGGAAAGTAAGAAGGGGAGAGGTGAAGAAGGAGAAGAAGAACAAGAAGAAGAAAACTCCTTGGCGAGCATTCGAGGCAAACGCCGCCCGTCGCGCTGTCGGCCGATGAAGATGGATGGCGGTTCTGCTCCGGAGAGAGAGACAGAGAGATCGCGTAGGTTCCTGAACCGTTCAAGTAGACGAAGAGGACGAGATACGGTGGAAGAGAAAAAACGCGCATTAGAGAAAGAGAGGGACCGAGAGGGGAGGATAGAGAAAGTTGGGAACATGCCCTCTTATTCCTTCCCTTGGGCTACGCTCTCAAATTAACAATATACCAATCTCTAGCGCTCTCTTATAAGCTTTAACGATTTAGGTAACTTCCTTGGCTCCCTTTCTTTCCGTTGTTTCAAGAAAATAGCCATTTACTATTCTACCAAAAATATAATAAATATTATGAAAAAGTAATTATATCCTTGATATATAAATAGATATGACTATGATAATAAAGTTTTCATAAATGATGCTTTTATGGAATCATGTATACTACTACGTACTAACATGTACTACGTGACCAAAATATTATTATAATTGACCGTCAAGCGTATACTGTCAACTGTTCTACGAAAGCTGCATCCTATTAATATTCATTTGTCACACCGTTAATGAAGATCATGTTCTAGATCTAAAGCTAGATCATCAAAGCGTCGGAGAAATACGTGGAATATGTTTAACTGCATCAACACTCAGGAAATTTTGATTTACCTATGAATTATTAATGTAATTTTATTTATAGTATTTTATTTTTTAAATAAGCAAATCGTATTCGGAATCAAAGTTTATATGTGACTGAAATTTTAAATAATTAGTCATCGTATCAAAATCTTTAGCGTAGCAACCGAAATCACGTACATCATTTTTAAGATGCTAAAAAAAAAACCGACACACACACACACACATTTTTTTTCTTAAAACTTATATATTTATCTGAAATACGTCTACCGCTTTAAATAAAGATAATCCTGATGCGGCGTAATAATCAGGTTTGTTTCAAAAGGTCACTTCGCCCATAAATCCTCTCATGCCACTAGATGTTGCAGAGCAAAGAAATGAATTATTAAACGCTGCATCGAGACGAGTCTGTATTATTTATGAGCTAAAACCTATAATGTTTCCGAGCCAATCGATTTGATTATTGAAGACTAAAATCTCGATTAGACGTATCCGGATATAAGAATTAGACAGACAATGATACGTGAGTTGAGTAGGGTTAATTAAAAAGATAGCAATATTTTGTATTTTCACTTCTCAGACGTAATGTACTAATAATTATATGTTTTTATAGAATGTCATAGAAAGAGTTAAATTAATATTGTACGTGTTAACTATAATATTATACATGTTAACATTTAAACAAATATTAACGGTTAAAATGTTAAATTAAAACTAGTTTCAATTAAAATGTTAAGAACTAATTTGTATTCTCGGAAACGAAAGTTATATTTTTTTACATTTGTGTATAACTTATTATAATGTTATTGTAATTTTAATGATATTTCTAAGCTACCGCGTGACGTACACATAGAAGTACGCGTATGCGCGTATGGAGAGAAGTCCTGTAATAAGAAAGTCATACCGATGGCCTAAGTTTGCGCCAAACCGGCGTACCAATGCTGCCACAGCTTTCGCGGACGGAGGTGACTTTAAACGCGGAGCAATAAATTAACGGCGTTGGGTTACGCAAGGATCAAATGTCCCCTGGAGTATGCCCGGGAGATTTATGGGTCTGCCTTCACTGGCGCAGCATGAAGGAACGAAACAGAACAGAACGTACACAACCGTGCGGCTTATTATAGGCTAGTTGCTCCGCATCTCCGCTTCCCCTCCTGCCTGGACTAGTCTTTCAGGCCCGCCGCAGGATACACGCAGGACTTTTCAGATTAACAGCTAGCCGGATGTTGTAACCCGCTAATAAGGTGCGGCCACCACTCGGTGCCCAATTAAGCTAAGCTTTACGTGGGCACTATAAGGCCAGGCCTTGAAATGCTCTTCGATTAGATATCCTAGATGTACCATTAATTTTATCATTCGCTTGCGGTATCAACTTTGAATTATATTTATACCGTTGATGGACATCAATACTAATTGCGCTAAATTGTTCGAATCGCTGCCAAATATTTTCTTCAATAAATTCCCAAATGCAATAAAGGCACTTAAATCCAACTTGTTATATGACAACTTTTAACAACAAATACAATTAAAAATTTTATTTCTAAAAATGTTACAGATTTGAATACAGTCCTCTCGAAAAGTATTCTTCGAAATAATTTCTATACAAAAATAAGCAGAGAAATAAATAGTAGTAATAAAAAATGATAAGAAATTGTTCTAATTTTGAAAAATTCACATATCTTAGATGAAACAATTTTTATTTTTTTATTAGCAATCTTTATAAGTTTGCAAACATATCCTTATAAAATGGATTTCTAAGTATTTTATTTTATAGTGTCTTTCAAAATGCAATTATTTATTTAGTAAAACTATAATTTCAACGTGAAAATAGAGCAATCTAATAAATGTTTTTATATAGTTAAACTATAAATTGTAAGAGTGGCTGAATTCCATAGAAGTTGTCAGAGAAAGAAGAAAGTATTTAAGTTTAACATTCATAGAGAGAATTTAGAAACTTCCAAAGAGACCAGAGTATCCTATATTAGGTAGTTTTTCCTCCTTGCTTTCGCTTTCCTTTTTTTGATCTTCCGGACAGACGAGCAGACAGACGGACAAGAAGATGGAGTCTGAAAGAGCCCCGAGGTAGAAGGTCGAGATAATGAGCTGCGAGAACGACTTGCCGCGACATATGCATCTTTACGGATATCACTCGGAGCATTAAAAATTACTTTTTCTTGCACCTGCTACTTTAGACAGTATATAATTGTTCTACAAAAACCTTAAAATTGAATCGTGATAAATAGAAATTTTTATTTCACGCAAGAATTTTATTTTATGCTTGAATTGATATTATTATAAATGTTAGGTAAAGAAATAAATCAAATCGCTATAAAATAGAGACAATTTTGTCTTTCGAACGTTGAATTTTAGCCAAATATCAAATAGAAAATCAAACCACGACCTCCATATCGTTCACAATTGCCTTCATGGCGGAGCTCCAAAAGAAAGCGGTCCCCAGGATTTCTGTGGATTCATTCATCATCATCATCCGTCCCTTCTATCTCTTCCTACCGCCACTATATCTCTCTTTCTCTTTCTATTTCTCTAACATATGTACACATGTGAGTGCATACATATACACGCACGTATCCACTCTTCTTTCACCTTTTTTAGCTCCTCCTTTCCTGCCCCTTTTGAACTCCATCGCTTTTCGAATATCTCACGAAGCCGCCATCATTATGGCCACCAATCTGTTGAGCGGCTAGTTGGATTATAATAAAATGCATATCGGATTTGGAATGCTGATCTTTCTGTTCTATCTGCTGATTCCTCGAATAACAACTCTAAATTTTAAATATATCTGACGCATCGAATACCGTTTTACCTTGAAACATTTTATAAAATTTTATTGTGTGATTCTGAACTTGTAACGTATCTGTAGTAAGTACATAAAATATTTTTATATGCTAGTTTTATATGCTTTTTCATGCGTATCTCATTTAATATTAATACATACACAATACTTTTTTTCTGAGAAAATAGAGAAGTATATAACAGGAAAAAGCGATACGTGCGTTTTACAGTATTACAATCTGTTCGTTTAATTGAATTGTTTTATTTTCTTTTGTCTTTTATATTTCGTATCGCGACAATTTATTTGCAGCATATACGTTCTGAACTTCTCAGGATACACATTACATAAGGAATGTAATATACGAGTGTGCACGCACGTATGCAATAACGGAAGCTTTGTAACTGTATCACGCCATGCTTATTTGTCGATTGAGAATATATGAGGGGGGAAGGAGTCGAGATGTCATAAATCTTTTCACACGGAGGGTCGCAATTATCTCATGCATTAAAAGCACGATGGCCGGTCTCCTTTTCTCGGATCAACACTTGAGATCGGAATGCCAAATGTTGCAATACGGCAAACACGTTGTGTTATCCAATATGAAAGATTATGTCGAGATTTTTTCGAATCCCATCAAACAGAAAACACTTTTCTTTGTTTTTACATATAAGAACTACTTAACATTTATTGAACCATATAATAATAATAAAATTTGCTTTGCACAATGATTTTGCGATAAAATCCTGATATAAAGACATCCTATTAAAAAACCGTGGAAAACTGAATAATTCATTTTATGCTATGTATATTCTATTTATAACTCTTATAACCTTTAGCATTAACTAAGGAATCTATGCGTACTTGCATGTCTTTACTTCATAGTGCAACTAACTATGTTGGAATTTCTCGTTTGTGTAACGCGTCCTACAAAAGATATCAAGAAATCTCAACAATTCCACTAAACAAATGCTTCAACGGTACCTAGCCATAAAATAGAACTAGATATACATAATTCACGAAAGTCTGGTTCTAGCATATTTAATTCAAATTGCATAGCACGATACGTAAGCAAAATACGTATAGAGTAATAAAATTTGAGAGTTTGAGCTAAGAAATTCTTTTGAACTTGTATGAATTTTAAAGGGTCACAAAATATAAAAATACAGATAAATGCAAAGTAAAAAAATCTTCCAAGTCGTAAAAATAATATAATACATTTCAAATAGAAATAAAATCAAATAAAATTATCAAAATAATTGATTAATTATAATTTTTTAAAAATAATACTTATTTCTCTATTAAAATCTTTTATTTTCTTATTAAAATGCGGTCTAAACCGATTTGTACGCATTTTTTATATGAAAAGATGTTACATATAATTCTTATAACAAAAATGGGCAAAATTATAACGTTTATAAGGGCAATTGAGATGCGCGAATAAGACGAAACATTCTTAAATGTGCCGACATCTGTGAGCACATTCAGGGACTTGAGCCATTTTCTTCGTTTAACAGACAGTAAACTACAAGCCCTGGCGTCGTCATAAGCGTAGTGTTTATCGGCCAATCCCGGAGCAGATACTTGGAATCTGCTTCTGAACTTAACCGAAAGATGGTATGAGTAATCGTTAATAGAAAAAAATATGTATAATCATGATTTAAAAATTTAATATTTCTTCTTTTAATGATTTTTAATATGTATTAGAATTGTAAAAATAATTTGAGATTTTTGTGCGTTTCAAAAACGCTTATCAAAAAATGTTGCAATTTTATATTCATAATATGTATTACAATTATATTGTAAAACAGAAGTAAAAAAGCACAATTATAAGAACGTAAAAACGAAGAAAGGTAATAGAAATATTTTAAAATATAATATCAATCATTCACGTTTAATATATACTCCGTTAATATTTTAATTAAAACGATTTTCTCAATACGCTTAAAAAATGTGTAGAGAAAAATCATCACTTATGAAAAAGAAAATATATAAGAATATTGCATTTTAAATATTTAAATGTATAGACATACCTTCGTCAGTTTTTTCTGCTGTTTTTTAAACATAATTTTATCAATATTGCTTCGTCAAAAAATTAATCGTATTTCTTATATTGTCCACTGATCAATCCACACTCGAAGAAAGATATGGAGAGAAACTACTTCTAAGAGAAACGACGAGCGACTGAAGAGTAAGAAAAGTGAGGCGGTAAGAGTGGTTCGCCAAAATTTTTTGTTTCAGACAGATACCTTGCAGAATTAGGTAATATAGGGATACCGTTCTTTTATCGAGGGTCGAACTGAGTCAATAAAGAAATGGAGAAGCAAACTGGTTCGCTTAACAGGATCCCATAACTTATTCAATTGTGCGCGATCACGATTTTTCTACCTAAATGACGGTCAAACCTTATTGTTACTCTTTTATGACTGTGCCACACAATACCATAAATATGCATACCATTCGAAAAGTGTTGAATACATGAGAAATGAGAGAAGATTTGTCAAACGCACAATCCTCCAAGAGTATTATTTAATTGTGCAGATATTAAAGCACTGAATAGACATAAGTATTTTTTAAACTAATTATATATTTAAAAAGAGATTAACTTCGTTTAACTTTGTCCGTGTATATATAAAAGAATGCAAAAAGACAAATTACAATATTACAAATTATGTTAATAAAAACAAATATATCGTTAAGATTTCGAGCGATAGCCTGATATGAAAAAAGAACAAGAGACAACGCTTATTGTGACCTGATAAACGAGCGGTGAAACTAACAGACAGGCTAACAGGTCAACGCAATAAATAACTCCGGTCGCGACGTATCTAGAGACATTGTGCCAATCCTGAGTCGACTACCGTACAGATTTGGTTTAGTTTTGTGCTCCGGTGCATAAATACAAAAGTTGGCTACTTGCTACCTGAGAAATTTACTAGAAACTTAACTTTCTACAAGAATTTTGGTCACGTCAGATAGAATGTTGATTTTATTCTAGAAAGCGATCTTTTTTACTACATTTTTATTCCATAATTTATAAGAAAAAGTGTTATGTGTAAAATAATTTTTAAATAAATTTTAATATGTTATACTGAATCTCTAAATTTATAGATATTATGTATGTAATTCTCAGAGAATTGAAGTTTTAAATTAATTTGCATTTAATTTACATAAAATTTTAATATAAAATTTTAATATATTAAACATGTTTATATATAATAAAATATTTTATCTTTTCTTAGTAGATCATTGCATATATTAATTGCTCATTCATAAACATTAGTTGTGATAATAATTTCAAGTTTGAGAAAAAAAGCTCATAATTGTATAAATTTTAAAAATGTATAAACTGCACTTACCAAACTGACTCCTCATCCAAGGATACAATGGGCTCGGTAAGTTCGCAGACGACGCACTTTGAGACGCGCCTTGCTGCTGTTGACTGAGCGATGATGCAACAACGCCTTGATGCTGCTGAGCTTGTTGCTGCTGTTGCGGATGCATTCCAGCTTGTCCCTGTTGCGGTGCAGCAGTTTGAGACTGTTGCTGCTGGTACATCATATGTTGTTGCTGTGTCTGCAGATGCTGATGCTGCGATTGTTGTGGATGCTGTGACTGCTGCGTCTGCATATGCGGATGCTGGCTGTGCATTTGGTGGTGCATCTGCGATTCGACGAGAGGCGGGCTATCCGGTCCGTCGAGAACGCTGCCTTGATGATCGACAGCAGCCGCCTGAAGTTTGCAACTGGCATAGACGATGGGGGTGGACGGATGTCCATTGGGGGTTGACGTGTGTCCCATGTGACCCATATTCCCGGTGCTCGGAGATGTCGACCTATAACCGGCCATGCCGTCCATACTTCCGTGTTCCTGCTGATGCTGATAGTAGGCCGCGTTCCGCATGTCGATCCGGTTGTACGGGGGAAACCTCGGATAAGGCATATCTTGCTGACCTCCTGTGGTTCCATAATGATGGGCGGATACTCCTTGACGTAACAAACTCGGGTCACAGGGATCGCCGGCTTGCTGGGACTGTTGCTGGACCGATTGCGTTTGCTGAGGTACCTGTACGGCCGCACCATAGTGCTGCTGATGCTGATGCGGGTGTTCCACCCCGCCATTTCGCAGGTCCGGGATATACGAATTCGCGAAGTACGAACTCATGCTACTGTCCCACCTGTCCTACCTGCTTATGTCACTTCTCTACGTTGCTGACTGACTTTCCTTTGGTTATCTTCAATTGATCTATTATTCTTCTCTCTAGCCCTTTATCTTCGTAAATTAATTTTGTTTTGTACTCTTCCTGTGCGGACACACTGGCACACGTCTTTACATAGATACAGATTTATCACTTCGGAATTGCATTTCTTCACGAATCTTTATTTTTTCTCACTCGACCCTTGTCATCTCACGCACTCTTGAGCAGCACAAGCACACACACATACATATATATATATATATATATGTATATATATATTTATCAAATTACCATCATTTTGGATCACATGTACATCATTTGACTTTTTATCACACTGAGCTCACTACCGAAAGAGGATAAAATTATAAACTGGAGCACTACAGAACCTTTTTAATTAGCAAGTGGAGAAAGGGGAGAGTATACCACGTATACACAAGGTGGTAACGGAAGATAGTAATCAAAGTCCTTCGTCTTCCCCGGTGTGACACCTTCGTTCAAAGCGCCAAGCCACTCCAGACCCGTTTCGTTCCTCTGTCCACCCTATAATCGAAATTACGCCGCACCTGTAACACAAAAAGAACCAACATGTTACATTGCGTTATACGTACAATATTACAAGTTACATTAACGTCTAACTCATATGTATCATAAATATCAAGCATAACGTATACTTTAGTATGAATAAAAGTTATGCCAAATTATACTAAATTTACGGTATAAAAATATTAATAACTTATTAAATAATAAAATAGCATTGGGGTGATAATTTGCAACTGCTAGGAATTTTGCAAACAGCAAGAAAACTAAATCAAATAAATACCATTATTTTTACCAAGAGTGTACGGTATTTTACAAGATTTTAAACATATAGCGTTGCAGAGACACAACCGAAACTTTGCATGATCCTTGTCAAGCGAACTGAATGAACTGAGCAGAGTTTAGCTCGTGAATGACAGAAGGCGAGTTACACATGTGCTCGTCACGGTGACGGCCATCGCACAGACGCCAAACTTATTACAGCGTTCAGTGTGGGCGGGCTAAGCGATCGTTAAATTTGGAAAAATTTCCATCCATTAGACCGCATGGCCACTTCCCACTAAAACCTTTCTCCCTCGTGTCAATCTCTTTTTCGGAAGTTTTCCAAAGATTCCGATGCACATAATACATAAATCTAATAGGACGTATGCAAATCAGTCATATCTAGTTCAATGTGCACGTCAATTTCAAATAAAATGATTAAATACAAAAGAGATATTTTTAAGAAACAAATAAAAATAGCAATTGATTTGATTAGTTTATCTAACTTATTTTCTTATATAAATATCTTTATTTTAATAAATCATAACACAACTAAATTTTGAAAAATTTGTTTTTTTATAGCTTCATATAATTCCATAATCATAAATAAATTTAACTTAATTTATTATTGCTTTTATACATACTACAAGTTATCTCAGTGCAGTTATTAAAAAAATTGTATTATAATCATTATTTAAAAATTGCATAAGTTATATTATTAACCTTATTTAATAATAAAACATAAAAGAAAATAATGAAAAAATAAATACAAACATTAGATTAAATACATTCCGCAAAAATGAAAATATTTAAAAAACTATCTAAATAATATTAAATTAATAATATCAAAATTCAACGATCACTAAATATAGTGATTAATAATGTATGATTAATTCTTTTTCTTCTACCTATGCATAATATAAAATAAATTTAGAAAATTAAATTAAAAATAATTTAAATAAAATTTAAAAAAACAGACCCGCATTAATTTTTTACATTCCGCAAAAATCAAAATAAAATTAATATTTTTAACAGTATGTAAGTAATATTTTCCCTTATTTTAATTTAAAGAGACATTATCTGCATATAACAGAAGTATCATTGTTAAATTGTTGTATAAAATTATTATATGAAACAATAATGCATTGCTTTCTTATCGACTGAAATGCGAAGGGTTTTTGCCTTTTACAAGACACATGTTGATCTGCCGATTCAAGATCAAAACCTTCTATACCGACCATTTCCGATATCCTAAAGTCATACAAATATATTATAAATCACTTCTATTTTCACAATTTTCTAATTCTTTAGTTTCTTATATTTCTTTTTTAAATTTCAATATTGGCTAAATAAAAATAAGGATAATTAATTAAAGTTTCTAGCTAAAAATAGTTTCTATAAAACATTATTGTGTTGCATATCATTCTCTTAAAGTCGAAAACTTCGTTATAATTCTTTAAATATAAAGCAAGATAAAATTTAAATTACACTGTTAAACGGTTAATAAAAAAAAACACAGTCCTTTAAAACCAATAATACATTTGGCTTTTACATTGCAAAAAATTTATCTCGTCGCATAGGAATAAATGAAAATATACATGTGAATGTACATATGGTATTGTTGCGGGTGGCATGGCAGTGTGGGTGGTGCTAAACACGGAGTTAGGAACGGGTTCGAATGTGCAACGGGCAGCATAGCAGGGTGAAGAGTGTGAGAGAGGGTGAGAGAGGTGCGGCCCTTGGGAGTTTGCTGTACATGAGAACGGGTCGGACGCGGGACGATCGCGATTAACATTCCGGCCGCTAGCTTGCTGTTCGCGCGGCGCTTTCATTAATTCCAGCGTATTGATTCCACGGATTGATGAATGGCCGCCGATAGCGATTCCACGCGTTCGCCACCCCCCTTCCCCAGCACCTCTCCTTCCTCGTCTCTCGCGTATAAATTCAACCTCTCGCAGGATTTGAACTCAATTCCCGCCCCGTAAATTCCCCTTTATGTATCCTCCTCTGAAGTGCAAGTATCTGAATCCTATTGACGTGGACGGCGTATTTTTCGCAGCTTTGCATCCTCTTTCCCCTCGCATCTCTTTAATTTAATAGTAGCGAAGTGTGCAGAATCAGTTATCGTTACGGTTGAATTCTCAGACTGTTCTACGAATCTCAAAATTTTGAAAAGTCTTTTAAAATTATTCTAATAGCACAATACTGGTAAATTCATGGGCGCAATATTGCACCAATGTATTCCCAATATAAATACATTGGAAATACATTGGTGCAATATTGCGCCAATAAATTTGCCAATTTTGTACTACTAGGGTAGAATAATAAACAAAGAAAATAAATATTGCCATTTGTATAACAGTAACAATGTCATTTACGTGTGTACAACCGTTCTTCCTTCTAATAAGGTACAACATGTTAATTATGCCAAATCCAAAATACATATATCAGATAAGTATTTTAGGCCTCATTTAGTGGTGACATCAACGGAAAGATCATAAACTAACTGATTGTTTAAACGTCTAAGAAGTACATAATATTGTCGGCAGATGGCGATAGTGATAGTACGGAAGAAGAGGAAAAAACGGGGTGGAGCATGTCTGACAGCTGGGTGGGTTCGGGGCCAAGGTGATTGAAAACAGGGTGGAGCGTCATGTGACGCCATGGTTGGATATGGAAGTGACGTCATATAACTACGATGGCCTCTAGTTAGCAAAATGGCCTCTGGATAGGAGTTTCTTTGTCCCACAGTCTCTTATCTATAACTATCTTGATGTAATCAAGAGAAGACGGTTGAGGTGTCAATTGTGTTCCATCAGCCGTCCCAGAAGAAGCAAGTTTATTCATCATGTTCATATCTTTTCGATTCCAAGAAGTAGAAAGGATGAATAATGAAATAGAGATAATAAATATAATTGAATAAATTATACCAAATAAATTAATCAAATAAAAATATAATCAAAAAATGACAAAATTTGATACTTATTGTCATTTTCATTATAAGGCAATATAAGAAAGACGACAAAAAAAGGTTGAGCGACCCATTTATATGTATATATGTATCACCAGTTGATGTAGATAAAACGGCCGGATAAAATAAACGACGTCGTTGGTGGTAGCCGTAAAGATTGAGCCATAAATGGCACTTGGATTTGACAGTTATGGAACTCGTAGCTCGTGTCGGTCGTCCGCACCTCGTAAAGTAGTCGTAAACTAAACGCGCTGTAAACTAAACGTATTCCTGATGCCACGTACAGCAGCGGAGTTATATTAAAAAGTTACGAGCTTCTGACCTTGTACTATGTAACACTTAGCGCATATAAGATGGCAGCTCTTCTCACATTCTTTTCAAACGTTCATGTTTACCACTTAAAAATGATGGTACCTATATTACGATACTTTAAGATTTGAGAAAATAAATAAAAAAAATAGATGCATATTTAATAAGTATATATAAAATTAGAGGTGTAACGTGGCAATCAACAAGTAATATATAATTAACAATAGCCACTGTTGTATCAAGCGAAGCGGTAGCGGTGCGACGCCAAGTATACATATAAAAGCATCCTTAAGATCAATTTCCATTTAAGCTATAGTATCACGATTATTTTTTAGTCCACGAGTAATATGTTAATACGGTGATTGACTACTTTCATAATGTGGCCCACACACTACAAGCAATTACATAAAATGGGCGCGAAGAGAACGCAGTAATAGCTATCATTATATACAACATATAATTTGGAACAAGAGAGAAAAGGAGCTATAACGCGCAAAGAAACAAGACAACTTATGTAAGATTATTAAATAAAAACCGATGCATATTCATGGGATATCATGATTTCGGGGTACTTTGTTATGTAAAATGATCCATCCTACAGAAACAGGATGACAATATTTTTTTAACTGTATATTACACCATAATCGAATTTATTATATGCATTCGATATTGCTGTCATATGATTTATTTGCCTCGGCGGAAGTTCTCGGACATTAAACCTGTCTGGGGCTAGCAACCATTGTACAATGAATTTACATTTTAACGCGTTATTATACATATATCATAATTTTTAATAATGCTGAGAATTACGCGTATAACAATGATAAAAGAACGATTTAATTAGATCGGTTAGCGTTTCGTTTCGTATTGTTCTAAAATACAATATTAATGTGCTATTAATTATGTTAAATGCAGATAAAGAATCCGCAGACGTCTCGCACACAAATCGCATATTAAAACTGAATTTTGTAAATCGTCTAGTAACGTCATTCTTTTTTCTGATTAATAAATAATAAATATGATATTTGTGACGTGAAAATTAAAAAATATTGAAAAGTATAGTACGTCAGATAACATACACAATGCGTGAAGACTGGAAGAAATATGAGGACGAAGCGACCACGCTAGATTTAGCAAGAAACGCGATCACGGTGGAACACCTCGGAGATACCGTTACGCACATTAAAGGATGCCCGGTTGGCGGGAGGTCGAGGCGGCATTAAAAGGTGTTCGCGATCAAGGATTCTGGCACACGTATGCACACATATACACTCAGGCGACATCGGTATCCTGATTCTTAGCGTTAGCCGTGCGCGACGCGTATGCGTGCCTTCGCTTCCGTGATCGTGTACGTAAGGACGGCGCAACGATAAACACATGGGCCACGCGCGCCGTGCGTGTGTATGTACATATACGTTGTGTAGGTATGCGAGCGGATCAGTCGAATGCTAACACGCATGTGCGATTAGCATAATCGAGTCGGGC